GGTGGTGGTGGTGGGCTGTTTTTGAGACACGGTTTTGCTGTGTAGCCCTGGCTGTCCAGAAACTCCCTCTGTAGATCAGACTGGCCTCACTCAGAGATCTGCCAGCTTCTGCCTCCCAGGTTCGGATAAAGGCATGTACCACCACTGCCTGGCAATAACCAGGATTTTTTACTTGAACAATTCTGGTTGCTACATGATGATACCCTACTATAGTTTCTCTGTTTGTTTTATAGTCCAACCTGCCTTAAACTCATGGTAATCCTTCAGTATCAGTGTCCTGAATCCTGAGATTAGGTGTATGCCACCATGCCCAGCCTTAGGTCAATTTTAACTTTTCTATGATAGGTAATAATGTTCACGAGCTTATTTGCCTCTTAAGAAAAATGTTTATTCATGTCTTTTGTTGTTTTCAAATTAGGTTCTTTTTTACTGTTCAGTATCTGCTGCTGTTGTTCTGAGTTGGAGTTTAAAATGTAACCTGGGCTGAAGATCTTTCTGCCTGAGTGTTGGGATTACAGGAACATATATTACCACACCCAGTTTATTATTCATTTTTAAAAATATTTATTTTTATTTTATGTGCTTGATAATTTGCCTGTGTGTATGACTGTGGGAGAGTGTTGGGTCCCCTGGAACTGGAGTTACAGACAGTTGTGAATTGCCATGTGGATTCCAGAAATTGAACCTGGGTCTTTTGGAAGAGCAGCCAGAATGGCCAGTGCTCTTAACCACTGAGCTGTCTCTCCCACCCCTACAATCAGCTTTTATATGGATGCTGGGATCCAAAGTCTGGTTCTCATGCCTGTGTTTAAGTTCTTTAACTAGAATAAGTATTTATTGGACACATACCTGTGCAAGACTCTGCTGCATCCTCTCGTGGAGAGGCCACTTCTTCCTGTATAGCAGACTCCTCTTCTGCCACCACCACTACAGCTGCTTCTTCCTTTAGTCTGGGGTGCATGACTCTTAGGATCTTGGAGGGAGACTGTGGGCACAGCAGCAACTCAGAGCCTGGCAGCACAATCTGGTACACCTGCAGGTGAAGCTCCTCATTGATCCAAACCAGGGACACATTTCCATCACTCTGTAGCCTACCTTGTTGCACCAAACTGCAAAATAAGAGCAAGAGCTGGCTCAAAAGGTCTTCTTCCCATGGTCTCCTGACCCTGCTGCCACATCTCTGGAAGGGCACATTGGAAAAGACCCCTGCCAGACAACTAGAATTGGCTTCAGGTTCCATCGCAAGTTAAGTGTAGTCTGTATGCACACTTGTGTAACTTACCTGATCCAAGCTGAACTTTGCTTTGAGGTGCATATGGCTCCCCACCAGCCGAGTGACAGATCCTGGAATAAAAAAATGAAAGCCCCTTTAAACTGCCTTTGGTGGCGGTGGTAGGGTGTTTCCCAAGTAGGAAAACAAAATAAATTAAGGCTGGCTGCAACCTTTCTGGACTAACTCTAAGATGAAACTTTTTTGTTGTTGGTTTTTTTTGTTTGTTTTTGATTTTTTTCAGACAGGATTCCTCTGTGTAGCCTTGGTTGTTCTGGAACTCACTCTGTAAACCAGGCTGGCCTGGAACGCACAAAGATTCACCTGCCTCTGCCTGAGTGCTGGGACTAATGGGCAAGCACCACCACTGCCAGCGAAAAACAATAATCATTTTAAACAATCCTTACTATGCAACCTTTACTTGTATCATTTCCTCTAGTTTCCAAATGATTTTTCTAACAGCCATTGCTTTCTTTTACAAGCAATTTCACTAACTAGTTGATGAGGCTCAAATCTGATCCTGGTAACCTTAGCTTCTGAACCTTAGGAATTAGGTTCATAACTTTTTGCATCTGCATTCCTTAGTTACTGCAGCTTAGGTAAGGAAACACAGTCCTGTAGTAAAGGGACAAAAACGACTTCCCAGCGCTTTAAATACCCTGCTTCTAACCAACTCAGAGCTGCCAGGAAATACCTGAACCTCCCGCAAACTTTAGGACAGGAGATGTCCTATTCTTCAATACCTGCTCGTGTGGTGGCTTCACTCCCTCGCCCTTCTCCTCCGAGAAGGAGTCCACTTCCAGAGGTCCCCAATGCAGTCCGAGCTGCAGGGGCTCTCCGACACACCAGACCCCCAAGTGCTGTTTCCTGGCGCTCGAGGGGCCCAGGGCCAAGCCCTGGGGGAGGGTCTTTAGAGCAAGTATGACAGGGCTCGAACCAGGCGGGAAGTCTTTGAGGCCCTGAGCAAAGCCTCCTCCAGAAAGGCTCCATCCTGATTCCTGGCCCAGGCTCGGCTTGGGGGCTGCAGGGAGACGGGAAGGCAGTGAAGGAGCGGCCCACGAGGGCGTGGGGTTGGGGAAAGTGCAAGGTCAGCTATGCCTCAGGGGTTTGAGGGATAAGCAAGGCTCTACCTCAGCCCCTGAAAACTTGGAAGGGGGTCTAGGCTCTTAAACCCCAGAGCATTGGAAGGCACCGGGGCAGGATCCCAGGCTAGAGAGAAAAAGGGATGTAGGGAGGAGGCGTTGACTAGAAAACGCTGGGGCCATCTAGTGCCGGGCTGAGGGTCGCAGACATCGCAGGTCACTCACGGAGCGGCAGTGTCTTCCCCAAGAGCACCTCCTCCGCCTCCTTCATACTGGATCAGAGAGCTCTCGCCACTACCCCTCCGCCGGAAGTGAGCGTTTTTGTCCCGGTTCCTCGCGGAAACAGTCCTTGACTTCCAAATTTAAGCTCAAGAAAGAATTCAGAACCAAAAAAAAAAAAGAGGAAAGAAGAAAGAATCTCAATGGTTAGGCATCATTGGACCACAGGACTGGGAGTTTAGAAATACTGGACAGACAAAAGTCTGAGAACGAAAGGATTCCCGAGGCACGCTACTTTCCAGTATCTGGAAGAACGGAACCAATCTGCCCAACCCACCCTCCTTTGGGGAGCGACCAGCCGGACAGTTGTTATACTGTGTAACCTCTTAGGCGTGCATTTCGGCAGGTGATTGCCGGAAGTGGGCGGGGTTCCAGGAAAGCCATGTTTGGACCGGGCAGCAAGCCCGGAAGTAGGAGGAAGATGTGGCGGAAGTGGCTGGGGAGCTCAGGGCCCCCCGAGGGGGCGGTTCCCGTTCCTTCTCGTAGCCGGATGTTTGCTGAGCTTTGACAGGCGTGGCAGAGGGAGCATTGCCTGAGCGCGGTGAGCTGCAGAGCGCGGGGTCTCGCTGGGCTGGTGGGGGAAGGGAACGAGCTGCTCTGGTCATCTGAAGGGTTTCGGTCCTAAAGGGGAGAATCGGAGGCAGTGGCGCGGGCGGTGGAACTGGGCCCGAGGGCCTTGATCTCTCTGCTACTGGGATTTTGCCCCACTTCGGTGTCTGCAATGAGAAGACAGCCACTTTCTCTGACTTCTTCCTGCCCTCTCTCAGGCATAGGCCATTACAGAACAAACCCGCGGGAGGGAGAAGTCTCCCTGACAGGATCTGGAAAAGCACCGAGAGCGAGAAATTAGGAGGAAGTGATAGACTTTGCCACTTGATAAGTCATGCTTTCTTCTCATTTTCTTGTGAAATGAAATACACTCAATCTGTTGTTTGTTTTTTTTGACTGTGCAAACGTGATTATAGTTTAGAGTTGCTGTCATGTAGGAGTTTTGTTTTTCCGGAGTCACAAAACAGTCCGATTCTAACGCCAGCAAGTACTATGACTTCAGGTTGCTATCTCTGTTCTGCCTTGACATGAAAAGTTCTGAATGCCCCTTTGTGGCGCCTCTTTGAACCCTGTGAACTTTGTGACTGATAGTCACATGAGAGTTGTTGAGGGGTTGACTTTCACCAAGAGACCACCTCAAACTGGTACTTGTGGATTAAAATCTTGCGTCTGGGTTCTATGACCTTTAGCAATTTGCTCACCCTTCCCCCATTTTGTTCAAATTGTAAATGGCTTTGATAGCATATGCTGAACAAGTAATGCAGTTGTGAGGTGAATTTGTGGTCAGCTTGAAGCACTATATTGGCTTTCCACAAATGTTGGTTTCCTTCTCTACTTAGGAAAATCATTCATTCAACTAATGACAGAGTGTCTCCTATGTGCTGGGCATTGTTCTGAATAGATGGCTTTGTTTTTCTATGCTGCATAGAGGAGCTAGGGCCCAGTGTGTGCAGGCAAAGTGCTCTACTACTGAGCTATGATTTAGCCTTTGAAATAGGTTCTTAAGCAGTAATTCTAAGAGGGCTTGTGAAGCCTTTAAAATTGCAATCAAGATTTCATGGATCTGTTCATTTTTCCTAGAGAAAAGTCCACAGATGTCAGAATTTCAGAGATATTTGACTGTTTTGTAAAAGTCAAAGGCTTTGCCTAAAGTGATTTCAAACACTTTTTGAAGGTCAAGGTTTATCTGCTCGGAAAGGAATATTAATCTGAGAGAGAGAGAAGTGTTTTTGCAGAGTGGAGTAGGACTCACAGGTGACTGGTATACTTTATTTCTATCATTTTGTGTTAGAATTTCCCTTCCTAGGCTTCCCTCGTCTCCCAATGGACAGCAGATAAACGTCCCAGCTCAGAGAAGGCAATAGATGGGAGTGAGAGAGGCCAGGGAGCTGGGCACTACTGGGATTAGTTTTGTTGGTAAAGGAGGTTGTGTGGGAGTTGAAGGAGGTCAGGTCTAGAATGTACAGAATCGAGGTTCTTGGGAAAGAGCTGGGAGTCAGTTCTGCTCTCTTCTTGATAGTTTCCCTCTCCCTCCCTCACAGAGCTCAGTTCCAGCTGCTACTTTTAACTCTGTTCTCTCCCATTTGAGTGCTGCTGAACACTGCAGAATTGTATTTCTGGGAGGAGCCTTTGCTTCTGTAGATAAGGAAATTTAAGGTCCAGACAGGAAAGGCGCTTGCCTGGGATCTTTACAGTCCTTGGCTTAGACAGGACTCTAAGACAGTTTTTCATATATTTGACTTCATGCTGTTTCTGTCATACCAGGTACTTACTGTGTACTAAAAGATTTCTCTTGGATAGCTGTGAGATGGGGGTGTCAAGGAGTTCCTGTACCTGGGCCGTGATAGAAATGGAGAGAAGGCTCAGCCAGGAGGGTGTTTTGATCTGGAATCTATCCTTTTATCAGTCAGTGTTTTTCAACCTTCCAAATGCTGCAACCCTTCAATGCAGTTCCTCATGTTGTGGTGACCCCCCCACCATAAAATTATTTTCATTGATACTTCATAACTATAATTTTGCTACTGTTATGAATTATAAATATCTGTGTTTTCCAATGGTCTTACATAGTCCCTGCGAAAGGGTTGTTTGGCCCCCAAAGAGGTTTCTACCTATAGATTGAGAACCACTAAGCTAGAGGATCCTGTGAGAAGCAGCCCTATAGACTCCTGGTTGAATTGGGTTGAGAAGGCGGGTTGGAGGCAAATTCCTCAAGATGGAAGATTGCTTGGTTTGAGGACTGAGGGTTGACGTGGGAGTAAAGATCTGGGCTTTGGGCAGAGGCAGATTTACTCACTAAGAGAAATGCATTCCCAAATGTGAGAGGTTTGCCCTTTGTGTTCTTAGGGAGGAATCTATATATTGGTGTCCAGCTGGATTTGTGGATAAGGCCAAGGGACAGGGGAGAGAAAGAACAAGGAAGAAGCTTTTGTCTTTGGCTTTGAAAGTGTGAAACAGTTTTCCTCCTGACTCAGTATGTTGTCATGGTAACAAGGCAGTTGTTGCTTAGGCTCTGAGAGCTAGTTTAGAGCCCTAGGCTGTAATGTGTGCAGGGAGGGGAGGTTGTCACGATTCTCCTAGCCCACAGTGTGGATCTCATGTGGCAACCCTTCTCTTCGTCCTATCCCCAGGCCCTTTCTGCTCCTCTTATCTGCCCTGCTAATTCTCTGACCATATATGTCATTTTTTTCTGGCATCAGGAATGCAGCTGCTTCTTTAGGGTTGGGCAAATGTGTTGGGTGAGCTCAAGGGAGGTATTTTTATGGAGCCGAGAGCAGAAAGTGCCACCTCCTTTGGCCAGGTCCTAGATCTGGTTTCAGTGCTGACTCTTCTCCCTCCTGGCCAGCTCTTCTGTCCTTCAAGGCCTTACCTCCATGCTCTAGATATTAAGAGCAGCTTCTTTTCCCTCTGGGCCATCTCATCTTTAGGTAATCTGTTGACTTTGCCACAGTGAAACCACTGTCGAGAACCCCTGCAGGGTTAGAGAGGGCAGGAGAGCCTTAGGGCTGCAAGGGGTCTGCAGGGATTGGCAGATAGATTCCATCCCCTGCTACTGGTCTTTGTCCCAGGTAAACCAAGCTGAACACCTCAGCCATGGCCTTTTTTCCAGGGACCCTACCATCTCTGGCCTGGAGAGAGGAGTAGAATAGCCAGGGCCCCCGCTGGCCTTTTTCAGACATGGTATTGGAGACCCCTGGGTGCCTCAGATTCTTGTACTATCGATCCCCGTAACTGTTTGGGCACGAGGCTTCTGCACTCTAAAGCCTCTGAGGAGATGCCCTTTGGCAGCTGCGACTGTATTACTTGGTCAGTTGAGCGATAGGCAGTGTGGAACCTGGCGCAGCTCTTACTGCCCGGCTGAGGACCTGAAGGGAGGTGCTGAGCTGTGCCATCCACTGCCCCAGCTGCCTTTTCTGGCACCATGCTCTGTGGAACTCTTGGCAGGGTGAGGATTGTTGAGGAATAAGGGACAAGGATGCCAGAAGAGAAAAGAAGGGGACAGAAGGGTTCTCTTTAAGAATTACAGAAGCTGACCCACCACCTTCTCTCCCCTCCCCACCCAGGTTTCTCTTCCAGTTCTTCTGCAGGGAGAAGACCTAGCCATGGATCCTCTCTCAGAACTGCAAGATGATCTAACCTTGGATGATACCAGCCAAGCTCTGAACCAGTTGAAGCTAGCCTCCATTGATGAGAAGAACTGGCCTTCTGATGAAATGCCAGACTTTCCCAAGTCAGGTGGGCGGCACAATGTCTCAGGCAACTGTAGACACCACAGAGAGGAGGCCCCTTCCTGCTGGAGGGGTTTCCAGGGGGTAAGGTTGGGGCAAGATGACCAGCCTAGGGTTGGTCAGGAACATAAGTTCACTGGGGGCAGGCCAGAGAGCATGAGTCATGGAGAAGGTGCTAGTCTAGCCCCTAGGGTGACTTTGCCTCTGCCATATTCCTCAGATGACTCTAAAAGCAGTTCTCCAGAACCTGTCACACACCTGAAGTGGGATGACCCTTACTATGACATCGCCCGGCACCAGATTGTGGAAGTAGCAGGTGAGCATGCCCAATGTTGTATCTCTTCCCTCATATTCTGTGCTCCTGGCTTAGAGAAGCCAGCCTCTTTTGCCACCAGAAAGGGTACATTTTGTGCCTATTTTCTGGTCTGCTCTTGAGCATACACACTTACCTTATGAGCATGGATTGGTTTTGATTGGCATGTAATATAGTCGCCTGCCACTGCTTCCTGACCTACAGTCCCATTGTCTCCCACTGCAGCCCTAATGTGGGAGGCATTGTGGCCTAATAGCTTTGAAGTTGGAAAGTTGAGTTTGATCCAACTATGCTCTCTGAACTCCTCCCTCACGCTGTTGTTGAGAGGAGTACGTGATGCTCATATGTCCACATCCTGGGAGCTAGAACATAGTTGGCTCTGAATTGTCCTTTCCTTCATATCCTCTTGTCCCTTCCCTCGCCCTGATATCAGCTTTCCCCCTATTAGTCACTGGAGATGTGGACAATGTCAACCCGCTTCTGGGGGTTTAGAATGGGCAGAGCCTCCTTCAAAATGCACAATGCCACATGGCTCCCTGGAACATCAAGTTTCTAGTGGATGTGCTGCCATGCTGAGAATGAGTGCAGGAACCCTTTGGGTCTCTACGTCAGGGAGTTCCTTTCTATTCATAAGGCAAGCCCCAGAAGAGACTGGAGCAGGGGAGTAATGAGCCTTGGTGAGCTAGCTCTTGCTGCCAGGGCTAGAAGAGGCCATAATGTCTAAGGCATTCCCAT